TCTTTTAATTCCGTGTCATCACCGTTATTTAATGTGAAGTTACCTGTTTTACTGACCTGGCAATGCAAATATACCAACAGTTTGTGTTTACATGTTAGGTTGTTATCTAAAAGAAACTTAAAACATGAAAAGCCCATCTGATGAGCCACAGCTTACTTCCTGCTTAGGCTGTTATATTAATACAAACATTTCAGCTTGTAACATTTAGTGGAGAGACACCCGTTCGTTCAACGATTAAGTCACACATGAGCAACAAGCAATCAAGAGCGGTCTAAGCATGAAACAATTCTTTCCATGGCGACCTCGACATGTCCATCTGGAGCAAAGGGAGAAGCCATGGCTTTTTTCCGTTTTATTCTCTGCAACAGGAATATCCAAACAACAGAGTAATGTAACAAAGAAATACTTACCAAGAAAGTGTTTAGGGTCCTGTGGCACGCCATGATCAGGCCACTCCGTGAAGTGCAAATGATGAATGATTCTCGTTTGATTTGTGGAAGCCTGTTTTAAGGATAGCTTGCGCACCTTATAAGAAGATGTGTTTCGGATTGACACAGTTTCCACATCGAATGAATTGAATGTTTTTCTGCTCCCGTACAAGTCCTCTGGCCAGTAAGGATAGCAGGCGCCCTTACTGTTTATCTAATTTTAGAAGCAATAACAAATACATATCGATCACACTTATTCACACTAGTGCACTCTTCAGTCAACGTAACACTAGATTTTGGGTTGCTCAAACCTAATCCCAAACACATAAACAACTGTGACTACAACACAACTTAGCAACTGCTATGCAATAATAGTGCATTCAAAATTTAGATAAGCCAAGTTTGACAGATTGAGGTCTCTTTGTTTTGTAGGCTGCATTTCTAATATTTTCCAGCAAATAGCATTTTGTACAAATCAGTCAATTCTTTTTTGAAGTGAACATACTACAATCCCATGTGTTGGGAGACTTTTGATCATCTGAACCAGACAGTTGCTGCAAGTCGAAGAAACGAAATGTTGTACCTTGTCGTCTGTTGCCGCCACTATTATTCTAACATTCTGTTCCCACACCATCTGCCAGAAATCAGAAACAGTGTTCTCCATAGGGCCTTGGGCCGCAATGTAATGATACGTTCGAGCGCCCACGTCCAGCTGCAAGGGAACCACAGTGCACAAATGCAATTCAATGCAAGATAAAAAGCAATGGAATTCAAAATTATCTTAAAAATGGGGACCAGGTGAGAAGGCCTAAGGGGACTAAACCCAAAGAATTATTACTTCATTCCTTCACCTCAATATGATTTCATTTGTTTTAGTCCCAAGAGCCTGTCAGCACCACGTTAGAATTTTAACAAGACCTACTCTAATTCCATGGTGATTACATCATTTTGTCTAATCCTCGCATGGAGGGTAAAATCTATGGCTCAGACTCAGAGTCAATAAAAATGGATGAACGATTGGGAATCTACAATTGTTGTTAACCTCAAAAATGCACAAAAAGCATCAAACTTTAATAGTTTCAACTTAAATTTCTACACCAAAGAATTTCAACAACAATTTTCAGTTTAACCTCAAAATGAAAGATGACTTGAACTGCTCCTTCTATTATGTAGAATCTGAAAATATTTTTGTAATGGCCAATTTCAATATCGCACGAGCAACACCGAAGCAAGTATAAACTCTAGAAGAATAATTACAGAAAAGGAGTAACCGGCAACAATACGCCAAATCAGAGTGCATTGGGCAGGTGTTTTTATTCTAATTTATTTTTTTAAGAACAAAATAAAAACGGATGCCCACTGCACTAGTTCTTGAAACTCTGATTTGGCTTTTTGCAAAGCGGCGAACATGAATGCTTCATGTACACCTTGTGTTGGCCAAGACCAGGTAAAAGAACTAGGAAGAAAAATCCGATACCAACTTTCAATCGCCCTGCTTGATACGTCGAAACTGCAGAAACGTCTTGTTATAGCTTTGTTTGAATTCTTGGCAGAACAGGATAGTATCCAGGATAGTACTATTACCGCTTTGAACCAGCTTTTCAGAAAAATCAGCCTGTCCTCGATCAGGATGTGTTTGCTATTAAACAGTATGACTTTTTGTCCACTATCACTCCCATAAAAAAAACCGTAACAAAATGATTCTCTGTCAGTGACATAGGCATACTCGGAAAAAGAACTCCGATTTTCTCTCAGTCTCAAGGTAACTGAAATAACGTAAGGTGGTCAAACATTGATATCAAATTGCTCAGATTTTGCTTTCACATTTTCGGCGCCTGCTAATTATTTTTGTTGGTACCGGTAGCTTGTTTAGCTCATTATGCATGTCCACTGTTAAGAATTTTCCTACTAGCGTGAGTTCCAATGCACCATACTTTTCTGACAACGCACCATTGCCTTCGGAGCCGATTATTTTAATCTGTGGATCAGTGTTATCTAAATAACATTAGTATAAATCTACTAGCATTCTGTCACGAATGCCGTTCTCTGATTGGACATTCTCGTTTTCATTCAGAAAATACTTTTTTCGTAGAAAAGAGGCATCTTAATCTGGTTAAGAAATTCAACCCCATCATTATTCTCTAAAGAACTGTCAGGGGTTCTTTTCAAATCAACAAACAAATATTCTATTTAANGAACTGTTGTCTTTTTACCTCTGAAGATTCTCAAGAACCACCTCACTTGTAAAAGCTTGTAAAGACTGTAAACATTCAGAAATGATTATCACTTTACAAACTAATTGTCCATTTATAACATAAGTTGGTAACGTCACAATTCACCCAAAGCGGATCTTAATTCCTTTCCCTCGGAAACAAACATTAATACTGAAAACAGCATGTGGCCCTTCTTCTCGGCACACCTATCCACCAACTTCCCTCCTCCCCAGCCTCACTCAACCCATTGCTTCAGTCAATTTTACTCACAGCCAATCACTTCTTCCCTTCCTTCTACTAATTCACGCAAAGCCCCTAAGGTTCCAACACATGTACCTGTGTTTCCCGAGAGAGTGACATCTCGTCTTCAATATCAAAATCCAACTCCCTGGATTCTTCCAAGTCTGAATCATTTGATGTGCTATAACCGCTGGTCTGACCTGTAACCTCGCTTGAATTATCTGCCGCTATCTGCTCCAAGTTTAGTGACACTGGACGAGTTGGCCTGTCATAGAACAAATGCATACTGTCCTTTTTTGCCTCAAAATCAAAACTAACTGAAGATCGGGGTTTATCATAACCTGCTATTTTCCGAAAGATTTTGTTTTCCTTTACTTTGTGAGCCATTATGTAATTGTAAAAAATGACCTTAAGAAAATTAAGGCCTCTATAAGGCTCACTGAATATCGGGAAAACATTTTCAGGTCCACAGATAAATCAGATATCCACAGGAAATGCCCTAATTCGCACAGGCAGTAATCACATGATTTCGAGTGCAATTTGGAATAAATAGGGACGAGGAAATTTTTCAAAGGCTAACAAGATTGCAAAAGGTCATGGGGCAAGTATAATCTGCAGTATTTAAAAAATTTACTGATCTTTCTTTTTTCCAAATTGCACAAGAAAAATCATGTGATCATTTGTTGATAAAATGCGAGCGGCATTTTCTCACGCTTTAGTAAGTTTCGTGACAAATTCAAGTGTCAACCTTCTTCAACTTTATTGGCTAAAAACTTTGTATAGGCAATCGCATGGCCTGATTACATGTTTTAGGAAGTTTTCGGAAGCAAAAATTGCCAGTGATGAAGGCAATTCAGTTGCAAAACAATAGCAAAGCGATTTTTTATCATCGTTGCAGCCGGTCTTTCTCTACATTTTGCCCTCGATAAAAGGGGCAATTTTGCCCTCTAGTTTGTAACCCGTGTTAATTCAAGCATATGTTCATTCTCTCTCTGTAAGACCTGCATGAAAAGCAGGCCTTCTTCCAAGTTGAATTTGAGAATATAGCGAAGAGGGAAAATCCCTAAGGGTCTGCTACGGTTCTTCATGGGTTAGTGAACTGTGCCGTATTTATCAATGCTGAAAATTATTCAACGTTCATTATTCTACGCATGATATTTAAATACTTTTTTGTCCGCCACTTTATTAGTCCGAGATCGATTCTGCACCAAACTGCCGCACCTGTCAATCATTTTCAACTTCATCGTTTTGCAGTGTATTTCACTCTTACAATAAAGTGATAAATTTACGTGTCTTGGCCGATAAGAGTACAGAAATAATTTAAGTGTCCAGAAATTAGCTGAAATAGTGCCCAAAAAGTTGGTGTTACAAATGTGAGTGACAGACGAAACAGAAAGACAGTCTTGTATTTAGTTCGGTGCCAGACAATTTGCTTATGACAAGATGAAGAGCCCTGAACTGGTAAGAGTTTGCATCCAGTAAATTCTTCATTTCCTGTGAACATAGTCATTGTAATACTCCTACAACATCCCTCCTTCCGGTTTACACAAGAAGCAGAATGCCTTTAACAAATACCTTGAAATATCAGAGCAAGCTTCCCCCGAGGACCTGTTAGGAGGTGTGTTGTGACTTCTGTCATCAAAACTCTCCAGTGACTGTGTTCCAAGAGGATTTCCCGAATCCATGGACAATGAACTTCCCACTTCATTATTTACTGCTGCGTTATTAAATAGTCCTTGAGCGTAAAAGCCTTGATTTTGATCAAGTGAGTTCTGAGAAGTACACAAGTCGTCACGCAGTAAGAAGTCATTTCGATTGTCCATTGAAGAAAAGTTCACGGACTGTGGTCTGGGTAACGTGTAGCGATTGGCTGAACTTGAGGAGTCACGTGACACACAACCGACCATGTGCTTGTCTTGAATGCGACTCCTTTCTTCGGGGATAGCGCAGTCTGGTTCACTGAATACAGGATTGACTAAACCTTTCACAGATCCTGAAAATCAACCAAGAAATGTTCTCAATTACCTCAAGGCGTTTTGGATAACTTCTTGGTTTTAACCTGTCAAAAAGGACAATATAAAGGATTTTCCGTCCTCATGTACAATGTCATGTTCTAGGATATAATGCTCTGTTGGATGTTAAGAGGAGGGATGGAGGACACCACTAGGAAAGTACTAGAAAAGACATTACAAGGATTTCATTTTTACACAGCGCATGGCGCTTCGGTCAAATTATCGTCGTAACCAGGTTCACGCTCTTATGTCGTTATGTATTTTCATTATCTTTATTCCCCAAATCTGTTCAATTGAATCGAGTAATCAAACAAGATATAAAATAAACAAAATTATATAATGAAATAATTCGTATACAGTCAACTCTCTAGTAAGCCGATACCCTCGAGAACTGGAAAAAGCGTCCGTTAGTAGAGCTGTCCGCTTACGAGAATTATTAGCGGAGCTCCAGCGGCCCCAAGGGCCGCCAGCCAAGTGGAGCCCAATAACTATAGGAAGAGAACCACATGTATGCATAGAAGTAGAAAACCATGGAACTCTTTTTACACATGGTCAACATGGCTAGTGGCATGGATCGCAAGCGGGTGCGCCCAACAACGACGACAACGTCGCGCAACATGGCGGCCATACCCCAGCTAATAGGTCGACCGAGGCATGCAGGCTTGATTTACAGCGTACATATTTGATATTAGACATCCATAATATGGCCAATCAACACCTGTCAAAACAAGGTATTCACTGACCAGTATCATGTGACCATATCGCGGGCTCACGTTTGGTTTTCATCAAGGTTGCGTGCTTTTTTGATGTTGACCGCTGGCCAAGTGATATGTATATATTTTTAATCGGATCGCGGGCTCGGATCNAGTGATCGCATTGTATTATAAGTAGTGTAAGTCTTAGTATTGTAAGTGGTGGAATTAATCATATTGGATATGAAGTATTTTAAGTAATATAAGTACTGTATTAGTATTGTATGTAGTGTAACTAGCTGTCTCAAAAGAAAAAAACCCTTGACAATAGCATTTTAACTAGCTAATTGTCTCTTAAATTAAAATATTTTTGCCCTAATTTTACTCGACTGAATAAAGAGTACACTCAGCCCAAAAGTATGGTTCTCCAGTTTGCATTAAGGCTGGCATGAAACACAGTTTTGGCCTTTTATGTCTATCAGTTACAGAACTTACAGTGAATTTGATTGGTGTTTTGTACTTGATGCCTGGGCACTCGACCTGGACAAGTTGAGCCGGCAAAATTGATGATGTACTACAAACATCCTCCACACATACTTGGCTGTTGGTGCATCATCCTACATTAGATAGAACAGTCACCATAAGAACTTAACTTCAAATGCTGCTTCATTACTGTTAGGAGTGTTTACTTTATATCAAGTTCAACACAAGAGTTCCATGCAGTCAATGTTTTACATGTTAATCAAAGCAATTTAAAAGCTTTTGACAAAATTATTTTCTAAAACTATGCAACCAACTGATTAACACCACTTAAGGCGTGTCATGGAATAAAAACACTATGAACTTTCATAACACTGCAGCTTCAAGAACAAAAAGTAAGCAGTGTCTTTCTTTTCCTTTTCTCCTTCTCATGAATTTCACTCAGCCACACACCAGAGCCTGGTTGTTTGACAGCTGATTAACACTGTATAATTCATCAAAGTCACTGTAAAGTTAATAAAAAATTCCAATTTTTCCTAATCCTGAGTTTGCTCAATCATGCTTTGAAAAAAGCAGTTCTGGATGGATAACTTGATAGAGCAAATCACTCTGTAGGTTGCTAAGAATGTGAGTTAAACAGGATTGGTACACACTAGTAAAATAAATTGACCAATCATTTATAACTTAAAGCAACCAAATAAACAATAAAACAGAAATATATGTCAAGCACCTACCATTTCAAACTGAATGGTGTCAAATGTTTTAATACTTTCAATACAAAAGTACTTCTTGTTGTGACTAATTCGAACAATATCAGGCCATCTACAAATTAGTGATACAAGGAAAAAAATCAGTTACATTCAAATTCAAGGCTGTTGCCTAAGGAAATTTTTAAGGAGCCCTTAGGGCTTCTTCCACCAAAAGTTAGGAGCCCAAGCCACTTTTTTAGGAGCCCAAATAAAATTCTCTGTGGTCAATCCGGGGGGAGGGGAGGTTGGGGAGGTTGAGGAAGATGGCGGGGGGTTAATTGTGGAAATTTTGGGGAGGGGTCCTGGGGCAGAGATTTTCCATGAGACACTAATATGGTCTAATATCAATCAAATGTTNATTGGAGGAGCACAATACATTAATTTTATTTGTTCAACTTCAATCTATACTACAGTTGAAATGAAATATACATTTATTAATTTCTTAATGGCAGCAAATATCACATACAATTACTTTTGTAAATTACTTATGCAAATTATGGACATTAAATCACTGCAAAAGTTCATTATTAATAATCTTTTTTAACTCAGTAATAATTCCCGACCTAAGGAAATTACTGTCAACTTACAACAGTTGAACCAGTATGCAATGCCTCAACCCCCTCAGGATTTTGAAATTTGCCACTTAACAAAGGTTAGCCGGTTAATAAAGACTCGTTAAAACACTAAATGATTTATTAATAGGAGTGGTTAAATGTCAATTTTGTAAAGTAAACACAAAGCATTATTGTATATAACAGCAACTCCTTCAAGCTACCAGTAACATAGTCAAGCAGTCATTAACTTTAACAAAAATAGATTGTACTCTGTTACTGTATATAATAGATTAGCTTGCAGATGTGAAATCTGAATTTTTTTTTACCTTCAGCTTAGTTAGGGAAACCTAGAGTTTCAATAGCTGCACGCTGCAAAACTGTCACTGAACCAAATTCTCACCAAAATGCAATGACAACTATGAAGTAATTCTTTTAACTGCGAGGGTCTAAAAGTTGATGGCCTTGTCACTAACCCAATACCATAAACTGCTGCCTATAAGGCCTGGGTTTATACAACTTCATAAGGGCTTTCAGATGAGCTTATAAACAGAGGGGCTTATATCTGATGGGGGGAGGGGGGGTTATAACCAGAGTAAAATAAACTGTTTTGAAATGAGCTATAGCTGCACACGTTGATTGAAATAGGTTTTTCATTACTTGTAATTAAGCTTTAAAACGTCATAATAAAACAAATTCAAAAAAAGGAAAGCTACTGGAGGGGGGCTTATATCAGGGGGGGAGGGGCTTAAAACTGGCTGTATTTTTTGGTTACAGGTGAATGGGCCTATAACAGGGAGGGGGGAGCTTATAAGCAACAGTTCATGGTAACCAGTTAAATTATTAAACAACAAAGCTATCTCAGAGAGCCATAACTCGGTAAAATCAAAGGTACCAAGGAGGGCATTTTTCTAACAGTTCACATCCATGAAAAAAGACCCTCTGAGGTGAACACTTACATACATTTGATACGACTATGTTTGCAAACCTAATTGCTAAAGAATGATGTTAATTCAACAAACCTGAAGCAAACTGGAGGTAACCCATGAGGATGTCTGACCACAATCCCAACAAATGAGGCACCAACTAGAATAACAGAGCCATCTTTGTCCTAAACCAAACATAGCAAACAGTACAGATATTTGTCAAATCTTGAGAATGACATGGCATACTAGAGATGAGAAAACAGACTTGGATGACCAAAGGTCAAATTTGGCCATAGCTGCAAGAATTTGTCTTGCAGTAAGAGTTCATTTACTGTTACTAGGCACTTTTTCATCATCTTCATTTTTTCCCCAAACCAAACTAACAAGAGCTTCATGTACTCATCTAAACCAAAATCAGGTAAGAATAAAAGCGGCAAACAGCTATGTCCCACCATGATCAACTGTAAGTTGTCCACGAAAGTTGTTTATTGTGCCTGTGTTTAAATTATTAGAGTAATGTAAGAGTAAACAGAACATCCTCCAGAAACAATTGCTCATTTTACAAAGAAATCTTGTTGCTTTCTTCAATCTTTCCTTGTTCGAGACAGGTTCATCGGATATTGAAATGATTTTCTGTCATGAATTCATAATTAAGTTAAATGAGACATGTGCATCCATGCAGCAACTGCTTGGAAGATAACAACAACAGAGCTTCTCAAAGATGACTGGTTGAAGGTGGTCCTTTAAGCCAGGCTGCACAGCTCAAAAATTATAAATATTTCTTATAGCTACAGACCTTAGCAGGGTAGTATTCATCACCATATCCTTCCAGCTGCTGAGTGATCAAGATGTATTCCAACTGAGCTTCTTCGCTTGTTAAACCCCTGAAATTATAACAAATTTTGCTATAGACCAACTGTCATATGACCTTGAAAAAGTAAGCTGCAGATTTGTTGTACAGCAAATTTCGTACAACCGTGGAAAAGTGAACTAAAATCTTGTGGATATACATGTACAACTGCATATTAAAGCAAAACCTCACCAATTAGTGGTCAGGTTAACAAGATTTCATTGCTTTAAAAATTGATGACAGCACTTTTTTCAAACCTACCTATGATGCTGGCACAATTCTGCTACCTACAAAAATGGACAGAGAGTTCAAAACCACAAAATAAACTACAAAAGTGTGTGTGTAAAAGCATTATACATGATGAAGCAAATAGAGAAACTGCTCATGGAACCCAGTATAAACACTAATTTCCCCAGTATAGCTGAAACCACATGTAAGTAGCAATTGCACTGTTCAGCCCAGACAAGGTAAAAGTAAAATTCATAAGGCTAGGAAAAAAGTTCATTATGCTGAACACAAACCAGAGGCTCAACTTTCAGTTCTAACCAATGTAACAAATAAATTTCAACACAGGACTAATGTTGAATGCAAAACCAATCAACAGAGACACATGTCCTTTAATCCTTGCTATATGTGGTAACAGTAACAATTTGCACATTTGAACCAAATTTGAAAGAAATAATCAATCGCTGGACCCTAGCATTTATAATGAATACTTGAGTCACTCTCCCACAAATTTGGTATAACATGGTTTTGTCTATGGTGAAGGGAAAGAAAGTAAAGTCTGCATACATGTATGAGCCAAGTGGCCCATCAGGCCAGAGCTTATCCTGGTTTCTGTAGCATGAATACCAGTACACCGATTCCAGAAAAAACCAGAAGTTGCACCGAAATGAGGCTTAATAGCCCTCGCGATAAATAAAGCAACATGGCAAACGAAGAAAAAAGGCCAATCTCTCTTCTGATGATATTCCCGGCATCAGTGTGAGTGAAGAACATTGAAAAATTGACACAGCCAATTGAAATTCTGGCTTAAAAGTCGCCGTATAAATCAAAGGGGCAAAATAAAGGAACTTTTAGGCTGGTATGTTTTCCATCCTTCAATTGTCTCGATCTCCAATATGCGCAAAAACAACCTGTTCTCACCATTTTTATTGCCTAAAAGAACTTTGTTCATGGTCGGTTTAGGAAAAAAAATCTGAATGAAATGAAAATTATAAAAATTTACGACCCTGATGCGAAGAATAGCTTTACTAAAGCTTAAGTAGCTTAAAGTAGTAAAACTGATGAAGCAAGAGCTCAAAAGAACATACTGAAGTAAATTTAAAAATTGTGCCGGATATCGCGAATATTGCAACAAAACACTTGAACAGATTTCCTATGGCTGATTCATTTTTCACTGACAACTTCAGTCTTCTCAAGTTAGAGAACATCCAATCTCTCTTCATAAGTTAACAATCGGTGTTAGAGAATAAAGGGAAATTCTTCAGTTCAAAAGATGCTAATCAGAGTATCAAATAAGACCACAATCTACTTGCCAAGAATGGTATAAGCAAGGGTTCCGTACAGTGACAGCATTATTGCGTTACGCGTTAGGATGCAATCACAAAGCTGATTCATCGGTCAAATCACCAATAAAATTATCAATGAAGTGTACTACAGTGTAACAAAGACTATCAGTCACATGCCTTGAAAGATGGCCTTGAAAATTAGCAACTAGTAATGGACAAGAACACTGAAATAATGCATCAACAGGCATAGACGAAGGTGCAAGTGACAAAATGCTTTTTTTCTGTTCAAGAGAAAAGGGAAATTTTGGGGNGCGTGTATTGCTTCAGTCCCTTTGACCGGTACTGTATGTTGTAAAATTAATGGCCTTAGGTTAACTTTTAATCCTGGGTTAGTGTTAACCTGCTTCTGAACAACTCAGCCTTGATAACAACAAGTTAACCAGGTTTAAGCCTGCCATCCAATTAAAAACCTGCACCTAGTCAGCAGTCAACTACAAAAAACCATGTGATTTCAATGAGCACACAACTTGAGCCTGTGATATGGTAACATGATACTGGTCAGCAGATACCTTGTTTAAATAGGTGTCAATTGACCACAACATGGATGTACAGTATCAAAGATGTACCCTGTAAACCAAGGTTGCATGTCTCAGTCAACTAATTAGCAGGAGTTTGGTTGACATGTTGAGCGTTATCGTTGTCGCTGCCACCGCTGCCATCATCATTGTCATAGCGGTGCACACCCACAAGCAATACCGCTAGACATGATAACCATCAGAAAATCAATTTATGGGTTTTCTTTTCTTTCCTATATGGGTATGGTGCTCTGCTTGGTAGCCCTTCAGGCCACCAGAGCTCCACTATAAAAAAATGTCTGTGTTTCATTGTCTCTTAATTAATCGATGATCTTATTGCGTGCAAAAAAACCTGCACCAGTCTCTTGTTTCCAAATGGAACACCTGACAGATTTGTTCTTCACCCCAAAATGTCACCAGCAGAACCAGACGTCAACAAGAACAGTGTGCCTCTTTTATGAGCTGTTTAACTCAGAACTGTGTATGTGCAAGTGTTTTGGTCATTCACTTTTAAATGGTTATTCTTCCAGTAATCACAATGTATCCCACAAGCTGACATCCCTAACCAGATGTGTAGAGGAAAGAACATTATAGGGAAAGCTATGGTCTACTATAATGTTAACAAACTTGAGTTGCTTGCTTGCTTGAATTGCATGCAGAATTTCTTGGAGTGCAGAAAAAGCCAAGTTAGACAGTCTAACAGGAATTCCCAAGTGTTTGAAAAGAAATCAGTAATTGCAAAAGGGAGGGGGGTAAATGATTTTAGAATTTGCAGGGTGTGAGGGGTAGAGCATTTTGGAATTTCTGAAGCCAAGGGGGTGTTACTACAATTATCAGTTGAGTAAGGTGTGGCTGAAGTTTGATGACGAAGTTTTGGCCTTAAATTTACAGTGTTGTCACAGGCAACTTAACTCATTTCCATTGGTAACAATATCAACAGCTGTGTGTCACCTGTCACACTGCCTATGATTTCGCACACTTTGCTGCCAATGACATCACAAGCCAACAAGTTGCCACTGGAAACAGAGCCAGTTGCCTGTGACAACAACACGATTTTCATGTTTCGTGCCTTACTCAACTGATAATCGTAGTAATGTTCATGCTGCCCATGGTAGGTGTGTCAGATATTTTCCAGAATCACCCATTTGTAGTATGTTTGCCCAAAATAGAGATTTGAAAGGACTCAAGTCATGTCTTGCTATGTAAGAAAATTATTTCCAGCACTGCAAACGCTTTGAAATAAAAATCACCTGGTCAGTTTGTCTTGGAACCTCAAACAAGAAGAACCTGCCACAAAGAAGTGGATCTTGAACTTAAGGTTGACAGTGCCAACAAAACTGGATGCATGTTGTTCGAGCTGCTTCTTTATTGGTTTCTCCAGTACCAGCCACCACTCATGGCCTTTCTTAGTCTTGTAACATAAACCAAAGTATTCAACCTGCACAAATAGATTAACATTAAAAAACAAACACATTACCACATTTTTTTGCAATACGTAAATGTAGCTAGTTCAGAATGATGGCATTAAATTGCCAATGAACCAAAAGCACTCCCCAGTATATATGTGATTATTGCCAAAAGACTGAGAGTTTCTGATCTAAGATTTATTTCAGAGGTCAGGAACTATAGTACATTCCTAGAATTCCCTCAGATAGTGCACACACAACATAACAGGACCTATGACCCTGCATGTCATGAAGTGGTTGTAGAGTATATGAAAATGAGTACTTTTTAAAATCTTACAATTGCACAGCTGCTTAAACTGTGTGTTTAACTGCAATGGTCAAAGAATGTTTTCATATCTTTCTCCACAGTTCAAATATATGATCTTTCATATGTTCACTTACATTCTTCACCATCTAAGGGTATACATGTATTATGAACTCACAACATGACCGGCTCCCAGTTGGCTTGATAGCTCAGTTGATAGAGCACTGCACCAGTATCGCAGGGGTCATGGGTTCAATTCCTGCTCAAGCCTGAATTTTTTTCAGGCTTTAATTTCACAACTGCATAAGTTGTGTGTGTAACTGCGATGACCAATCATGTTTTCATATCTTTCTCCATAGTTCAAATATAATTATGATCCTTTGTATACTCACTAGCAGTATTGATATACATGTACAGCATAGAAAGCATAAAATATTCATACGCCTTATAAACCGGAAAAAATTTCTGCCCTTGTGAGGGGTCTTGAACTGTTCATCCACAGGCAGCCCAGACATTGAATACGATTAATATGTGACATTATGCTGCTGGCTGGTTTTCTATTTCAGCTACGCCTCAAAGCATAACCGATCATCTTGGCCAGAGGATTTGAATTTCTAGTTTAACGACCATGCCATCGTAACAAAGTTGCCTCTAGCTGTCGAGAGGCAATTTTTGATTGCTTCCAGTGAAATTTCCCCTGGGACCATGGCACAGTGTAATTGGCATGATGAGAAATTCAAATCCTGTGGCAAAGATGATCAGTCTTGCTTCAAGGTAGAGCTGAAATGGAAAGCTAGAGCTGGAAAACCAGCATTTCTCGGGCAGTTGCAATAAACCTTGGAACCTTGGGAGAACCAAATTGAAGGAAGAGTTATCAAAGGCAGCCATGAGGCAATTTTGGCAAGATTAGACCATTTTTGAGAAATTAACCGAGCTTTGAGGGCAGGTTGTTGGACCAGTAGGTCACCCGCCTTTCGTTTCTCTTTAGGAGAAGCAAACCACCAGAAAGTAAAACTCGCCTAAATGGCTATAAACCGCCTCCAGGAGCACAAAGACATCAAAATAACACAATACCAACATAAGGTAAGCCATTTTTATTTAAATTACTTTCTACACGTAGCATTTACATGTAGAGCAATTTTTGAGGCATTCTTATACATAGTCTTATAAATGGCTAAATTGTAACGCAATCGCCAACAGCATAATGTTACGCATTAATATTATTTATTGTATTCAACGTCTGGGCTGCCTATGGTTAATCTTCATACCATAAACTTCCAAAAGTAATGACCCCCCGAAAGAAGCCACCCCCCCTCCCGCCCCAAAAGTACCCTCAAAAAATTGTGGCTGCTATTAACTTCCGAAAGTAGTGACTTCTCAAAAGTAGCAAGCCCACCCCATAACTATCCCACCTCCCCAAAAATAGTGAGACCAAGGTTCAGCATATTTATTTTTCCAATCAATAGTCAGGTGAAGATTACATATGGAAAC